GTATTTGGCCTACAAATGTAAACTGATGGCAGCTAATCTGTATGTATAATGCTTAGGGTCGGAAAATGACCTAGACGTAATATTTATCAGTGATTGAAGAGGAAGGCTTCATGTTAGAATGGTGTCACAAACAATTGACAAAGGAGGTGTTATCCCTTGTCGCGCAATACAGATTAGTTCTTTTTTCTCGATATTTTGTTATAAAAAGTGCCCGGTACGCAAGTGGGGCGATACACGGTAGTTTTCCAGCGGAAAGTTTCTGCAAAACAAGCGTATATAATGATAGCTGGGGTTCCGCGTCCGAAAACCACGAAATGAATATGAGAGACGCCTGTAGGCCCTGGAAATTCGCGGCCATCCAGTGCACTTTAGCGTGCACTGACTCCGCACAGCACACGGGCCTCTAACATCTCGCCTCCACCGAAACATGACCTCCGCGGCCGGGATTCGATCCCGCGACCTTCAGGCCGGCAGCCGAGCTCCGTATCCACTGGTTGGTTGTACCTCAGAGTCCTGGCGCAACCCACCACGGGGTATTGGCCATGAAAACGGACACTGTTCAACCGAGGCAAACTGGAAAAGAAGTGTCTTGTATAGCTGCTTTTAATTGAGCAGTTACGAGCGACCCACTAGCAGTTTTTTTAATAAAGCAAATCACGATTCATTTGGTGGACCCATTAAGCTCGCAGTTCTCGCATTAATCGTGAGCGCCTGCTTCCGCCGAAGTCTTGTTGCATAATAATTGCTTCTTATTTGCTATAATTCATTTTATTAAATATTTATTTGTTCCGAACTTATACGTTCTTTTCATCCACCCACTGTTAGCCCGAAAGACATGATCACTTCAGAACTCTAAACGGACACAGATGTGCACCAGTCATGGTAGCTTTGGATCGCCAAATTCTAGAACTTATTTCGACTGCGTATCGCTTTAGGGACCCGGTTTGTGGAGTGTGGTCGTGTGTTGGCATTGCTTGGGTCACACGGGCAAAACTGCGTGTAAAATGTAAACAAAGAGCAAGCAACCGAGCAATATAAAGAGAGAGAAACAGTGTGAGAAATATCGGAATAAAAATAGAAGTAAACATTCACTGGAAAATGTAAAAATGAAAAGAGAGGGAGGAGTAAAGAAAAGAAACACCGTAGAGAAACAGAGAAGTCTTGTTATTTCATTTAAGAAAAATATCCTAGCACTTTTTGGATTTTCGGCTTCTCATTCTTGTCTAATCCTCCAAAGTGGATACGAGTCACTGTTTCTCGAAGAAAAACGAACAAACAAATAAACAACGACTTCTCACTTTCCCCAGGCCATGCGCACCGCTATAGTGCGAGGCTGCCTTATTTATTTATTTATTTATTTATTTATTTATTTATTTATTTATTTATTTATTTATTTATTTATTTATTTATTTATTTATTTATTTATTTATATTTTACAGTGAAAGCTGTTATGAGATCACAACTCGGGTCATGCGCGGTGCCGTAGTTGTGCGCCGCCGCCGCCGGTGTCCGTAATCAATATCGTATGAAATAAAGAAAAGCTACTACCAACAACCCAGTGGGGCTAGTACCCTGGTCTGCTGCGTGCCAGCCCAGTATTATGCCACTGAGCAACGCCGGTGCTTGGGACTTGTTCGCAAACTTACCTTAGGCGGGCTTGATGTCGGGAAAGGAATCGCGTTAATATGAGTAATACAGTGTTTTAGAAGAGCAAAAGAACAACCAGGCGTCGCACAATGCGAATAGCGTAATGAGTGGTTCGTCCATTGTTCCAAACCATTACAAAAGCTTGTTCTTGATCACCTATTAACTGTGGCCCATACCCACTTCAGACATAATTCCTCATCGTCGTCAGCCACTGCATTAACAATTGGCACACAATTCCTTGCAAGTGTTTAGCGGATACCGTGCTTCTTAGAATAACGATGAAGTATAGCATAACAAATGCTGGCCCCAAAATTATTGTTAATAATGCCGTAGTGGGTACCCAGCAAGTATACTTGCAGCAGTTACACAATGAGTGTTTAGAAAAGGCTCTGGAAGGCCGCTTTTCTAGTTTTTACTGTGACTGTGCTGCGCCTTCCGCGCAGGCCTGGCTTTTTTGTACAGTGTCAGAGTCCAAATGAAGCTCGATGGAGCTATGAAATCTCGTTTGTTAGTTTTTTATTCTTGCTAGCTTACTCCCTCTGCAGTGCTGCGTGGAGAGATAAGCAAGCATCCACCGATTACCACGCGAAGTTATCTCCAGGCAATTCTTTCCGAGGATGATCGGATATGCAACGTCCGCATGCTTGCGATGGCAAACAACGCCGCGAACGCTTATGTGGAAACGATCGTGCCGTTCATGCACGCAACACGTGATCAATTGTTGAACTGTGTATAGCTTTGTAAATGTCACTCGATAAAGGAACGATGAGTTTCGAGGCCAGTCTCCCAAGGTCTTTTCATTAAAAGACCGACCAGCAGTATTTGCAATTAACTCATTTACATTCTTATTTACATTATTCGGGTCTCTACATGTGTTCCTACCTGGGGCCTCTCCCTACCTGTCTCTACGCATGCGTCGAGTTTCTTTCTGATACGTGCCGTGCTAATACACGCTACAATTATTCGGGTGCTTACGCAGCCTGTCGTTATTGCAACGACCTGATTGCCCTGTATATTAGTTTGTTGGATGGAATAAATACATCGTGTGCCGCATACCATTAACGTGTGAACGTTTCCATATAGGGCAATCATATCGTTGTATTAATGACAAGGTGCGGGAGCACTCGAAAACTGTTAGAGGTAAAACAGGAGGGTGGCTTGGCCGTTCACTTCCGATATTTTGAATGAAAAACTGTGCTCGAAGAATGCACTATAATTACAAGAAGCAGAAATTAACTGACATGTTTGGTCGTGGAAACGCATAACATCTCGAGATTGAAAGATCGTGTGTGAGGCTTTTCGTCGTATTGCCAGCAACTTATATTGCTTTGCTTGAATGGTTACGCACGTGGGGAACTTGCACATGCGCATTTATGTACCTCGACTCCGTAAAAACTCACATTGCTCCAAAATAAATTGTTGAGAGTAGGACTCCCTTGTGTTTCATCGTATGTTATTGATTGATTTGTGGGGTTTAACGTCCCAAAACCACTATATGATTATGAGGGACGCCGTAGTGGAGGGCTTTGGAAATTTCGACTACCTGGGGTTCTTTAACCGTGCACCGAAATCTGAGCACACGGGCCTACAACGTTTCCGCCTCCATCGGAAATGCAGCCGCCGCAGCCGGGATTCGAAACCGCGACCTGCGGGTCAGCAGCCGAGTACCTTAGCCACTAGACCACCGTGGCAGGGCTTCATCGTATGTTATTGTGTCCGTGTACGCGAAATTATATCCACCAAAAGTCGCGTCATTCTTTCGATGGTCTCAAAGGTACGGTCGTAAACCAGCCAAGGTCATTTGAGGTCGTGTGCATACGTATAGACAAGCGCTGCGGATGGAGCAAGTCGGTGCATTGTGATCTTGTGTTGCGGTGGCGCATCTCAGTTTGATGCCCGAAGGAAAGGGACAATAGCGAAGAAGGAAACCGCAGGGAATTGATGAGCGCTCACCCTGGGGCCTGTAATTTCCTTCTTCACTATATAGTCTCTTTTCTTCGGGTATGAGACTGAAGATGCGCTACATCAACACGAACATACACAGACTGTTACGGCTAGCGCCATTAAATAAATCTTCTCTTGTGGGGTTGGCTTTGCACCCCATGGACTGAGTAAGGCGAGCGTCTTGAATGTTGTGTTTCACTCCCACGCATACAACACGGGAATGTATTTGAACCATACGAATGCGTTCTACTCGCTGTGCAAAACAAACGTAACAGGGGAACACTTTCCATAAAGGCTGCGTTGAGTAATGGGTTAGCGCAATAAAAGCCTCCCCTTGCATTGCAAGATGTATAACCCGACACCGAGAGCATTGTGCATACGAAAAATTTCAACTTAGCCAAAATTTGATGTTAGACACGTGTTTTGTCGCGGAATGCGTGTGCCGGGAGGAAGTGCGGAAAGATGACCAGCACTAAAAGAGAAAAAGACGCCATTCAGATGCCGCCCGTGAAGTATACGTTCACGAGGGAAAGATGCAAGCTACGATAAAAACCTATACACTTATGTAGAAATCCCATAGGAGATTCTGCGTTGTGTATGTGACTCCCTCTCTCTTCTGTAAAGTTCGTATTTTCAAGCTTCATAATGTCTTTTCCCAGTGTAGGGTAGCATACTAATGTTTTGTTTTCACTGCTCTTTTTGCGCTTGCAGAAACGTTGAATTAGTGAAGCTTGTCGAACTTTGGCGTGGGCCATTTTCAGGCGCTTTTCTGCTATTTCTTCTTCAACATTTGGCGGGAAAATCACGTTGACCTATTGTGGGCTCGCTATTTCAAGAACGACAGTCTGATCGTTCACATTAACGCCGGCTTTTTATGTTCGCGTGCACCAGCTGCCCGGCCAACTGGGAAGCATAGTGCGTCTCGGCTCGCCTGGCAAATTATGCTTGCAAGCTGTTTGCCTGAAAACAAGTATGGTTATACTCAATATACTCGACGTTAGCTTTATAAAGCCTCTTTACGAAGCATTATTTCGATAGAAGCAGAATAAAAGAGCCTTAAAAATACTGGGCAATGTGCTGGTGTTTTTACTCCTATATTTTCGTTCTCTTTATCAACGTCTGTACAGAATTGAAAACATCGCGCTTCACTCATCGTTACAGCTGTGCTACAGAAAGCACTGTTTAAGTGGTCAAAGTGTCTCCGTTTTATATTTTGTTTCACATGCCGTCGTCTTACGCACTGCAATGTTTCCGAAGTGTGCGTATCCATCCGTCAAGCTTGTCGCAGTTGATTCCCACAAATTATGTCCCGGTGCATGTGTTAATGGCCGTGTATAGATGTTATTAGTCACTATGCCCTCTACCTGTGTGACGTGTAACACGCTCGTTGTTTTTGCTCTCTTGGGCAGTCGGAAGCCGAGATTCCGCTGGTGCCGTCTCCGCCGTTGGTGCGCCAGTCGTCCGTCCAGCGGCAGACCAGCGCAGTCGACGACGATGCCTCGTCGCAGCGGTACCTGCTCTCACGGGGCGGAATCCGATTCTGGAAGAACTTCGCCTACGAGGCAGAGGTACGTCTGTCTGTCTCTGTGCCTGCCTGCAATGTACGGTGTGTCTTTGACTCTCTCGGTTGTGCTCGCCTTGAAACGGTTGGGAAGACAGGGCACAGTCGAAGTTTAGAGAAGATGATCTAATGATCACGCGGAAGGTCTTTTGTTGCGCGCAGGCAGCTGCTTGTGTATGCCGCCGTCCGCGTCACATGTTTTCTATGTTGACTTATTTCGTGATACTGTCAGTCCCACTGGGTATTTTTACAGGAGCGTGCCAGAATAGTATATAGGTGTTGTGGTACATGCATTTTCAGTAACTAGATAGTTTCAGAAGATAATGAGCTTATGCCTTAACGCTATGCAGGGCAAAAACTGCATTTAATGTATTGCAAAACAATAGAAAGAAAACCAAGCTCGTGATATATATAATTTACACCAGATGAAACTGATGAGAAAGAAAAAGATTATAAAAGAAAAACGGGCAGGCGACCCTGTACCAGTAAACAGAGGTGGGTAAATATGGGTTGTACAACGGACAAGGAGAGAGCGAAAGAGCAAATCAAAGGAATTGTGTATGTAGTCATTCTGCTATATTGCATCATTATGGAGGCATATATAGCCGTTTTAGAACGCATCATGCTTAACGTTGTATTGACGTATACCGTCTGTATGTGTATAGTATGGTCCTCTGTAGAAGGGGACACTTAAAGTGAACTCTTTCAAGTTGCCGGGCTCTCTAACTTCAAGTGAACGAGGAAACGGTATTTGTGCGTTGAACTAGTTTGTCGGAAAGAGCCAGAACCGTCAGCAGCCATATTCAAATTTAAGCCAGCATGCCTTTGAATGCTAGTGAAAGCTGAACACGCCTTGCGCACAAGTGTCACCTTTAACAGTGGACCCGTCTGTATATATTTTGTGCCACATATATATTCCATAACGTGGACGGGGGGATGGCCGTCGTGGTAGCTCATTTGGTAGAGCATCGGGTGCGTTATTCGAAGATATCAGCTTCATGCAGTCCTTGCCCGCGGCAATGTATCTTTTCGTCCACTTTTCTTTCTTTCTACACATTTTCATTACGTTTACGTCCCCTATACTTTCCGTGTCATAATGGTCTGTTAGTTTTTAATAACATTGTGTCTAACAAAGAAATATTAAGGTGGATCCCACGCATTGTGGGAATCGATGTAATGGGAAGCAGCCAGCTACTGCTTATCATGCTGTATGTAACATGCATCTCATGATTTACATGTTAGGACGTGTCATTTATGTTCGTTATACTGTCACGTTGTGCAATATTAATTTTGGTGGGTATCAAGCCAGCGAAACGGCCGTGAGAGTGCCATAAGCGTGGTGCACACAAGTCATGTTGCACAGGACATGTCGTGGTTTCAATATCTCCATAGTCCTCATTTACCTGTGTTGCGGCCCTTGTGTTCGTTGCACTGCTCAACCTCGCCATTCACGTAAAACGATTTGCCAGCATCGCTACTCTAAAATAGCGCACCCTGGCTCCCAGTCATCGCCGGCCCGATCTGTGTGGAAAGCGCCAGTGCTCTAAAGCGAACCTGTCCACCATATAGTTGGTAGATATTTTTCGTGGTGACGTCGTCCTCAACGCTAAAGTCGGTTGAAGCCGAAGATATTGCAACATGGCAGAAGTGAATACAACCTTAAGGACTGCACTTTAGTAATCGTAATAAAAACACAATAGTGTATATGGTTCAGAATACCACGCTTCCCTCCGCCCCTCCTCTCTGAGGCACAGGGCGGCGCATATAGTTAGACGGAGAATGCATGTATACATGCACTATAAACGTAAGGAAGTTTGATGATGGCATCCCACCGGTGCCACCAGTTGTTAAGGGTAGGAGGTCGATGGTAGGTTCGACGGGTTTTTTATAGGGTAGCTGGCTCCCCGCCGTCGTCCACATAGCCGATCTTCGCCAGTGAGGAGACGAGTTCGTAGAGAGATAGATCAAAGGTTTATTTACATAAAATTTGAAAAATAGAAACTGTACAGAAATTCAGAAGATCCCGTATTATGTGCAACAGAGATTCAGTTCATGATTCAGCTTATGATTCAGCTTATTTACAAAATTTCATCGGCTTCTGTAGCCCGCCGTCTCCTTACACGGAGGTCCGAAGAAGGCGGGGACCACTCTTGCCACAAATCAGATGACCCAGTCTCAGTGGTCCACCGGAAAGGGTGCAGATATTGAACTACTCTGCTGGGCGAAAAAGTCCAATGTTATCACGAGCGCACCACACAAAGACGCACCCGGCCCACGCCTTGAAGGCACCGCAGGGCGAGGAGGTAGAGTCTGAAGAGGGAAAGTTGTGCTCCTCCGGGGAGATGGTCGCTGACCCGAACGTCAGCAGCGGTCCATGGCTGCTTTCAGCTACAGGCTTCCAGAACTCTCTCGAACATGGCAGTCCATATGGTCGATCCCTGAGAACGGCTTCTTCGACGTCTCCCCACGCTCCCGGACTGACGGTGCTTTGCGATGGCCTCGCGTAGATGACAATAGCCGAGTCGAGAGGTTGACTTAATGAGAACAGCCACAGTGGCGCCGTCCCACTGTTGTTTAAATCCAACCAACAAAAAGGTTGCCTCGCGAAGCTTTTGTTGTGGCCCGACCAATTCCTGCAACATCTACAGGACAGCGTCTTGCAGACTGGGCGCCGATGGGGTTGAAAGCATCCCTAGCAGACCGGCTTACGCACAATGGCGTCTGCCCAGACGAATTGCCGGACCCAGCGTAACAGCATGCACCCTTGTACAACCCCCGCACATGACCGTCAGCACTGCAGTAGTGGTCGTGTTCAAAAATTTCGCTTGGCACCCACTTTCGCAAGGCCTCAATTCCAAGTGTGGCAGCTTGGGCTAGTTGGTATGGCATGATGATAGTTATCGCGCGAGTACAAAACGACGACACAGAGACGTGCCTTTCGTGTCCTTCTTGTCTCTGTGTCGTCGTTTTGTTCTCGCGCTCAATTCCAAGTCAGTACTTTTAATGCAACCGCAATTATATGGGTGTTCGGGGCGAACTTTCACCGTCGCCGCCACGCTTTGTGTAACGTCTGATTCGGTAACATCGCCGGGTCTGTAATATGTTCTATGTAGGAGTAAAGTGGGCGAGGGCTGCCATTGGTAGCGGCTCAAGCAAAGACGAAACGTGCCGATGCTCTCCCTGTTGCGCGAAAACGCGTGCAGTAGGCTTGTATAGGGGGAAGCGTTGCTTCGATCCGAACTTTGATCAAACGGGCCTGGTATATCGACGGAGGTTAGTAGACGTGTTACGCTTCACTGCTTTGCGTTAGAGTAGTGCACAGCACGAAGCTGGGTTCGCCCGCAGGAGCGGCCCACGTTCTCTTAGGCGAGCGTTTTGTAGAGTCACAACAGATCGGATCTTGAGGAGCGAGCTGCTAATCATTTCGCGAAACCTTAGAACTTATTGCTATCACATTAATTACTAGTTTATTGTGGTGAAATGGCGGCTTTTTTTTCGTTTTCATTTCGATAGCAATTAAATGGACAGTCTTGGCTTGTTTTTGCCGTCACCGCTGCCGCCGGCGCCATTCCTGTATATGTATATGTATGTATTGTGATGACTAAAAGTGGCATCGTGGCTCTAGCGCGCGGAGGGGTAGGGGAAAAAATGGCCGCGTATCTGCATGTTACACTGCAGGTGTCGTCGAAAGACGATAGCCTCGCGTCTGGAGAGAGTGAGCAAAACGTTTATTTCATGTTCTGCGCAAGAAAATCGGCGAATGGTATTCTGGAGGTGCTGTGTTAGAGTGCCTCGAGCGTGCAGCGGAGGTGAACGAGCGCATCAAGTCACGTCACACGTGAGACAAGAGTGCTATCTGGCAGTTATGCTGGAAAACGGGGAGGGCCCCGTGCGCGCCCGTCTATGAGGTGATAAGGTATAGAACGCAAGGCGACGGGTAGGTGCCAGCACCGTGTCGTCTTAGCAAAGCGTTGAAAACACTTGCCTTTTCGTGCAAGCGTTGCATAGCCAGCGCAGCGTTGTAAAGGGATCCTTAAAATTACTCATGTATGCCTTTTCTAGTAAAAAATACGCACACATAATATTGACGTGTTGTTATGGTGCCTCAGATATGCGCAATAATTGCTTCTTAATTGACAGGCGCTGAACCTTGAGTAATATTGGGGGGGGGCGCTGCGGAGGGGGTCGGCCGTTTGGAGTATCTTTTGGTCACTTCGGTGGCGTTCAGGGTACCGTTAAGGGTGGACGAACAAACAAAGGTACAGACAGACAGACGGACGGACGGACGGACGGACAGACGGACGCACGGACGGACGGACGGACAGACAGACAGACAGACAGACAGACAGACAGACAGACAGACAGACAGACAGACAGACAGACAGACAGGCGGGCGGGCGGGCGGGCGGTCCCCACGAAAGTCTTAAAAGTGAGGCAGAGAAGGAAAAAGACGCTCAGAGTAGAACAGCCGGCCCGCAACAAGGGTGCCAGGCACTGCGCCATGCTCCCGACTGGGTTGCAGAAATTAGGTGCCTTTTCTCATCTTCTAACCACTACCACCACCAACAACGGTGCTGTGTCTAGTTTATTCCTCTACAGTGTATATACACAGGGAAGGATGCGCCAGCCTCCTCATTCTCTGGAGAGAACATTGCCTTTGCGGCCGGGGTCGTATGCGCGCGCGCTTATCTCGAGAGCGAACAAGGGGGGAGGGCGCGTACGGTTACCGCGCTATTGCGGCAATAACCAGCGCACGACCTAGGCCCCTCTGCCGGGGAGCTTACACACACACTACAGCACACCACCACACAACACACACACACACCACACTCAAACACCACACACACCACACACACACACACACCACACACACACACACACACACCACACACACACACACACACACACACACACACACACACACACACACACACACACAAAACGGTGCCAAAAGTCTACCTGGAGCAGCCGTGTTCTCTTACACCAGCGTTTTGTCGAGTTACGTGA